TTGATTCATTCACACGTGTTTAACACACAAATCCTGTATATTTAGGCTGAGTTCTTCTCTCAGACGGAAAACACTCTGTTCCAGCTTGTGATTCCTTGTACGATTTCAGTCCTGGAACTGCCAATCTTTACTAAACTAAAGGTAAAAAGAGCCTGTTAACTTGAAAACTAAAGGTTCATCAGAGCATTTTGAGCTTTGGAGATGCAGACGGACTAATAATAAAGGGTTAAACAAACTTGTGTGAATGAAACAAAACTAGGGGGATCAGATTTTCAGAATAAAAAACTAAGACATCCCTGGTTTGGGTTGGTTGGTGATAATAAAATTGTAAAACGAGCGTGTAATTAAGGAAAATTTGGCGCTAATGTGAGTCATTATAGTCACATTTTCTTTGTATTTTGGTTGTTTTTAAGCAGCTTTTCTGTATTTTACCTAAACGAATGACAATGTATGCCTCTCTTTATTGTCAGTAAATCTGCTGGGACAGGGGACACAAGGTTCAAAACTGGGACATCTGGTCACAGGGACATCTGGTCACCCTAAACAAAACACAACTCCAAGTATGTTTTTGAGGAAGAGGAGGTAATAACATTTAAACAGGGCTAAAAGCTCACAAGAATGATGAATGAATTTTTTGTTATATAAGTGCTCAACATTGTGTCAAAGTAAGTAGCACTAGTACTTTATGCCTATTAGTGTTACTATATTACGCAAAACTGACTCTTTAAATCACGATAAATGTTTTGTTTCTTTCACACATGTTTGAGTAACCCTGCCTGCATCTCCAAGTCTCCACCTTGCGATGTCGTGAAACTAGTGTTATGTTAATGTTAGGAGCCCTCATTTACCTTTTGTTCAGTAGAAAGATGACATTTCAGAGCTGAAATTATCCAAATGATTCTAGTGAAGGTTTATGGAGTTTAAAAACACAGTGGAGCACTTGCCGTATCGCCACATGACATGGTGGAACAGAGTAGGGCTGCTTGATTATGGAAAAAATCATTATCGCAATTATTTTGGTCAATATTGATTACCAAACGATTATTTTTTTAGTTACACAATGCATTTATTCAGCATTTCTCGCTCTTATTTATTGATCATTTACGCAAGACTTTAAAACTGAAAATAAATATAGGCTACAAATATGAACCTTAGAGCAGTTTTGCGATTTATAAAACAAACAAAAAATGAATAAAATATACTTTGAACATGAAATAAGATAATAGAAAGCATAGAAAAACATAAATGTATCCAAATAAACTATATATCCAGCTGTTCTACAATCTCTATATTAAAAAAATAAAATAGATATACTTATTTATATGAAAAGTATCCCTAAATAACCTCAATTACCGTATTTTCCGGACTATTGAGCGCACCTAAATATAAGCCGCATCAACTAAATTTTAACTAAAAGTGTACATAAATAGGCCGCACCTGAATATAAGCCTCAGGTGTCCGTGTCTTCAAGAACGTTTTCAATTTTGGGCCGTCTGCTTTTATTGCCTCTGAAAGATTTTGTCATCTTTTTGTGTTGAGTCAGTTCATCACGCTGCCGTCGCCAAAATCTCACCATCGACTCACTGATGTCGAGCTCACGTGCAGCAGCTCTGTCTACTTCTTCAACAGCCACATCAATCGCCTTTAACTTAAAAGCCGCATCATCTACTTTTCTTTGTGTGTTTTCCATGAAGAGGGGGTGTGTATGAAGCGCAAAATAACTGTTCAAAACACAACCAAATGAACATCTTCCTCGACACATCAGCCCGTCTCTTGTCACTCTCTACTGCGCATGTCTCCTGCAGAAAGAGCCTCTGTCCTGTCTGGATCATGTCAGTGTCTTGGAGGATTTCAGCAGATTTCAGACTCTCTCGGGGGCAGGATTAGTTCTGTCAATCAGGTCTGAGTGGAAGTCCGGCTACTGAAGTTTGAGACGTTTCTTCTCGTCATTTACGCACACGGGTAAGACATATCCCCCTCACTAATGTTCATTTAGCGTTGTAACTTATTTTATCACATGGCGATAAACTATTTGAGTGCGCTGACCATTTCTCGAGGTAGTGTAGCAACATCATTTTAACCCTAGATCCATGTGTAACCGCACAGACAGCGACGTTTTCTGACAATGTGCCAAACAAAGAATCCGTCCATATATCACAGCATCGTTTTATTCGCCACAGGGTTCAAAGTGTGAGAAAAAAGTAGCGGCTTATAGTCCGGAATTTACGGTATATGAGTTTGGAGACTGTCTGGCACACGAATCGAAATCACGATCAAAATTCAGTTAATTACACAGCCTTAGAACAGAGTGTTTTCTTTCTGAGAGAAGAACTCAGCCTAAATGTGCAGCGTTTGTGTGTTAAACATGTGTGAATGAAACAAAACACAACTCCAGATGTGTTTTTGATGAAGCACAGATCATAAAACGGTGTAAAATACGAGCGCTTTAACGTGTTGGACTCGTTACACAGAGCACACGTGGTAATAATCTTGTTCAAATAACTGTTAAATTTCCTCTCCTCATTTGCATATGTAAACAGCCTCACGCCCAGAAGCAGGTGCCTTGGCCGCGCTCCGCTTTTGGACGAATTCTGCGGCTCGATTTCAAAGACTAATCACTTCCACTTCAGGGGTTTGAACTCAGGTCATGTTTTAGCACCGGACGCAGCCAAAAATGTGAGAAGAAGAAGCCACTGAGAGAGAGGGAGGCCGAGAAGGACGGATGAAAGATGAATGGAGGTGTAGAGAGAGAGGAGGAGGAGGGAGTGGAAGAGAGAGGAGGAAGAGGAGAGAAGAGAGGAGGAGGGAGGAGAAGGAATAGGAAGAGGAGAAAAGAGAGGAGGAGAGAGGAGGAGAAAGAGGAGGAGGAGGAAAAAATAGAGGAGGAGGAGAGGGAGGGAGGCAGTGTGGGATAGATGAAAGATGAATGGAGGTTTAGAGAGAGAGGAGGAGGAGGAAGGAGAAATAGAAGGAGGAGAGCCAGGAGGAAGTAAAGGTGGAGAGAGAGGAGGAGGAGAGGGAGGAGAAAGGGGGGATGGAGGAGGAGAGGGAGGAGAAGGAAGAAGAAAAGGAGGAGAAAGAGGAGGAAGAGAGGGAGCGAGGCCGTGTGGGACAGATGAAAGATGAACTGAGGTGTAGAGAGAGAGGAGGAGGGAGGAGGAGAAATAGAGGGGGGAGAGGAAGGAGGAACAGGTGGAAGAGAGAGGAAGAGGAGGAGGAGAAGAAGAAGATAGAGGAGGAGGAAGCAGGAGAAAGAGTAGGAGGACTAGTAGAGGGAGGAGGATGAAAAGAAAGAGGAGGAGAGGAGTGGAAGAAAGAGGGAGAAGAGGAGGTGGAGGTGGAGAGGGAGGAGAAGGAAGAGAACGAGGAGGAAAGGGAATAGAAGGAGGCGAAGATAGAGGAGGAGGAGGAGAGGGAGGCGAAAGAGTAGGACGAGGAGAAAGAGGAGGAAGAGAGGAAGCGAGGCCGTGTGGGACAGATGAAAGATGAATGGAGATGTAGAGAGGGAGGGAGGAGGGAGGAGGGGGTGGAAATGAGAGGAGGAATAGGAGGAGAGACAGGGAGAAGAGAGGAGGTGGAGGAGGAGAAAGGTGAGGAAGGGAGGCCATGTGGGACAGATGAAAGATGAATGGAGATGTAGAGAGGGAGGAGGAGGAAAAGAAAGAGGAGGAAGAAGAGGAGGAGAGTGAGGAGAAGAGAGGAGGCGGAGAGGGAGGAGAAGGGGGAGAAGGAAGAGGAGGAGAGGGAGAAGAGGAGGAAAAGGACGAGGAGGAGAGCGAAGAAGAGGGTGTGAAAGAGAAAGAAGAGGAGTAGAGAGAGAGAGCGAGAAGGAGGAAAAGTAAGAGGAGGAGGTGGAGGAGAAAGTAGGTGGAGAGGGAGGGAGGTCATGTGGGACAGATGGAAGATGAATGGAGGTGTAGAAAGGGAGGAGAGGGACGAGGAGGTTGGGGTGATGGAGGAGAGAAAGGAGGAGGTGGAGGGGAAGAGGGGGAGAAGAGAGGAGGAGTAGAAGGAAGAAGAGAGGAGGAGGTGGAGGAAGAGTGGCCACTCAGAGAGAGGGAGGCCTTGAAAGATGAATAGAGGTGTAAAGAGGGAGGAGGAGGAGAAAGAGGAGGAGGGGAAGAAGGAGGAGGAGGAAAGAGAGAGAGGGAGGAAAGAGGAGGAGGAGTAGGAGGAAGGGAAGACCACGGGGCGGGTCCTTCAGCCGCACATGTTAAAGACCACAAGGAGACTTTAGTTTAACATCAGCTGTCGAAGTAGAAGCAGCAAGTCGGACTCTATTGTGTTTTGGGATTTTTTCATTTTTTTTTGGCAGAAGAGCCTCTCCTTTTAGTGGGAGGCTCTGAATTTTTGTTTATGGACAATTTGGAACTATCGGAGCTGATAAACTAACCGCAGGTGTGGACTTGCCTCTTGACCTGCTTCAAATCTTCTAGGAAACTGCAGCAACTAGATAAGATTTTATCTAAAACTTTGTGATATTTTGAGTGACTAAAAATGTACTTTTCACTCTAGTATCTTATACAAATACTGGCACAAGTTTCTAACCTTAGTGGCAAAGTTGGTAGCAGTAGTAGTAGTAGTAGTCATAGTTTAAAAATCAGTAGTAATAGTAGTAGTAGTAGTGGTAAATTCTTATTATTTTTTGTGTACTTTTACTTAGCTATAGTAGTAGTGGCTAGAAGCTGCTTCTTTTTTACTTTAACACAACTTTAAAAATCAAAAGAAAAGACTAATAGTAATAGTAGAAGTTGAAGTAGCAATAGTAGCAGTAGTAGTAGTAGTAGAGTATATTTTGCATACTTTTACTAGGTTATAGTAGTAGTTGTCAAGTTTTACCTCTATATAGTTGTTGTTTATTCTAACGTAACTTTAAAAAATATCAGTATAAAAGTAGTAGTAGTAGAAAGTGTAACTTTTGTGTATTTTTTGTATACTTTTGTAGTAGTGGCCAAGTTTTACCTAGTTACTTTTTTTTACTTATACAAAGCTTTCAAAAAATCAGTATAAAAGATGAACTGATCAATCTGTAATTGTAGTAGTAGTAGTAGCAGTGGTAAGTTTTGCATATTTTTTGTGTACTTTTACTTGGCTATAGTAGTAGTGACCAAGTATTACCTAGTTTTTTCTACTTTAACAAAGCTTAAAACAAAAATCATTAGAAAAGACTAAGTAATCAATCTGTAATCATAGTAGTAGTAGTAGTACGAGCAGCGGGAACTTTTTTAATATTTTTTGGTACTTTTACTTGGCTATAGTAGTACTGGCCACGTTTTACCTAGTTTTTTTTTGTACTTTAACAAAGCTTTAAAACAAAAATCAATAGAAAAGGCTGATCAATCTAGATTTGTAGTAATATAGTGGTAAGGACAAGCAGTAAATTCTTGGTATTTTTCACGTACACTTCTACTTGTTATACTTCTAGCCATCAACTTCAAAGTCTGTATTTTTGTCAACACAGCCTCTGCCCCATAACAAATGTGTGTAATCTTTCTAGTCTTTCATTATAGCTGTGGGCTGAGACGGGCGGAGGGCACTTGGTTTTAGATTAGAGGAGGTGGGAGAGGAAGGGGCAGCATAAACATAAACTCCGAGATAGAGACTTCTGAGCAGATTTGAAGCAAGACAGTCCCTCCGAAAGACATCAAGACGAAAGGAGGACGACCGAGGAGCTATGAAAGAATCCACAAACATGTCCGAGCATTTGTGCGGCTGCGGTAGGACTTCTCGGACCCCCTCGAGACGCCCCTGTCGCCCCAGGACCCTCATTCTGTTCCCTCTTCTCATTTTGTCTCTCTGGAGCTACACAGACGCCGCCGTGCAGTCCAGCTTTCGCAGACTGAGCGGCAGAGAGAAGAAAGAAATGCAAAAGGAGATACTGTCCATTCTGGGGCTGCCCGGGCGGCCCAGACCCCACCCGCTGCGCCCGCCCTCGTCCGCGCCCCTGTTCATGCTGGACCTGTACCACGCCATGTCCGCGGAGGGCGAGGAGGAGGGCAACGAGATCCTGATGAACGGGATGGGCCTGGGGAGGTTCGGGGCGGTGGATAAACTGGCCCAGGTGAACCTCGCGGCCCTCCCCACGCTGAGCTCGCACACGCCGCCCCTCGGGACCGTGGTCACCGACGCAGACACCGTCATGAGCTTCGTCAATTTAGGTAAGAGTGATGTATGTGTCGCCATGGTAACTAACTGTATACACCAAAATACTCAAGGTGCAGTAACTGATTGTTGTTGTCTTAAGCGTACAATATAACGCAAAATTTACTCTTGTGAGATTTAAGGCATGTTATAATGTTGTCTCCTCAAAAACAGACCTGGAGGTGTGTTTTGTTAACAGCTACTTTTTATCTTTAGTTCAGTAAAGATCAGAAGTCTCCGCTGGACTTAGACTTAAGCTTAGACAAACTTAATTGATCCACAAAGGAAATTACTTGGACACAGTAGCTCACACATCACAATAAAATATAATAAAAAAGAGAACAAATATAAATGGTAATAATACATTTTAAATAAGGTCTGTGATCTTTAACGATGATTATAGTGAAGGTGTATGTATAGTTTAAAAACACTTCCTGTATCACTGCATGACATCACAAGGTGGGACAGATTAGTTTCAGTTTGAGAGAAGAACTCAGCCTAAATATGCAGGGTTTGTGTGCTAAACATGTGTGAATAAAACAAAACAAAACTCCAGGTCTGTTTCTGAAAAAGAAATAACATTATATCATAGATCAATAAATAATGTAATATAGATCACCTTACGCATTATGAACATCTTACTTATTCACCACTTAAACTCTTTGAGGTGAGATAAAATTGGTTTTGTTTTTTTTTTTGTTTTTTTTTTGTAAAGAATAGTTGACCAATGAGCTCCTTCGTTTCATATGGGCCACTGAAAATAAATGTATCTGATTGGATGGTTATGTTTGGCTTCAGACGTAACTGAGGTCATAGGGACCAGACTGATACCAATCTGTATAAAAATACAGAGATTTCAATCTGGATTTGCAAGTGCAATGCAGTGCACCTAGTATGAAAGTGGTGTCTGTGTGAGTGTTGGTGGTGAACGGAGGAAGCGATGGCGCAGATTGGCAGCCTCGCTTCTGTCAGTCTGCCCCAGTGCAGCTGTGTCTACAATAGTAGTTTACCACCACCGAGTATGGAGTGAATGAATAATGATCTGTAAAGCATCTTTGTGACATATGTGTGTGAAAAACACTTTATAAAAATATACTTACTTACTTACCTTTAAAAATGTTCTTTATTTTACATTACATTAGTTGCAAGAGAATAATGAAGCATGAAAGTCCATCAAACACTGATAATTTTTTGCAACATTTCTATCAACAATGTAAATAAACATTTTGGTTTATCAGCTTGTTAATGGTGATACTGACTGGACATTGGCATGTACAGCAATGACTAAAATGGACTAAAAAAAAGACAACAGACTTACCCCCTGAGTTTAATCAGTCTTTACTTAAACATAAACACAGAATATTCAAGAATAATTCAAGAAACTTAGCTTATCTCTGATGCACAGTCTGTCTGTGTGTCCCTCACTCGGCTGTGGAGAGGAAAAAACAGAAACTCAAACATGTTGTCACTTTGACCGCTCTGTAATCTGCACTTCACTCAATCACCTCAACATGAACCAGCCTGACACCAGACAAGAGCGCTCCACCTCCACAGATATGACCAGACAAAAGTGCTGCTACTTCATATCAAAATTTGCAATGTGAAGAACTGATATTTTTGCTATATTTGCCTTAATAATTTCAGTAATAATAAAACAAAAAATGCCATAATTTAATTTACTACTAAAACACAGAGACCAAACCAAGACTTCAAGGTCCTATATGACGCACAGTTGATTCTTGTGAGCTTTAAGTAGAATGTTGTCATCAAAAACATACCCGGATTTTGTTTCATTCACTCATGTTACTAGTCCATCTACATTTGAAGTTTAAAATGTTCTGTTCCACCTTGTAATGTCATGAAGTGGTAGTTGTCAAGTAAACAGTTACCTTTTACATTCAGCAGAGATCGGCAATTCCAGACATGAAATTATCCAAATGATTCTAGTGAAGGGGAGTTTAAAAACACAGTCAAAAGTTAAAGTGGGCAAAGCAGAATAAATATTCTGTGCTGAGATTGTAGATCTAATCTACTACAGCTACCTGCTGCAGTCCCTTTGCTTGAGATTTCAGACCATCCAAAAAACATTTCTGTATTTCCTAATTTGTGTATCTGTGATGTTGCTGTGTAAATAACTTAAAGAGGGAGTATTATGCAACATCATTAGCGTTCTACCATGTTATAACACTGTCATGAAAAGTTTTTAGATGGCATCCATGCATTTTTGAGTAATTTAGCGATCTCTCCTGGGCCCTATTCAAACTTTTTTTACAATTAGCTGTAAGATTCTGTGCAAGGCTCCGCCCACAAATCGTAGGTGACATACCCATGCTCCCACATGACAATTCTCCATAAATATACAAAAACATGATACAAAACTGTACACAGCGACTTGACAAACCTGATGTGATGTGCAGTAGTTTTATTAGCAGGATGCACACTGATTATGTTTTAATAATGCTCTGAAGGGGTAGCACCTTGGCATGGAGAGCAAAGGTAGGGGGACTAAGCGCATCAAAAAGAAAGTGAAACACTTATAAAACATGTTAATACGCTGTTTTTGGTAAATATAGTATTTTTAAAACAATAAAAGGTAACATGTTGATCTAAATATGTGATGTGTTAGTAGTTAATACCCCATAGAAGTAAAATGCCCCTAGCCTGATTCATCAGACAGTTTCACTTCGTGGAAACCGTCTGACCTCGCAGCATTAGGAATCGTTCACTTGTTGGTAGGCGGGTACGTTTTTTATTTAAACAATTGCTGCTATTTGGTCGTGACGTCTTTCCCCTTGATAAAATTCAAACATTCTCTTTGTTCTGGCTTTAAAGCCTCGGTCTCGGGATTCGTTGCCAATCACAGAATGTTTGGCTTCATCTACATCCATCTCGACCGCTTTGTTAACTGTTGTGCTGTACCACAAAAGGGACCCAGACAGACTCTTGAGTTTGACGTCATGGCTTCACAACTCTTCACTGATTGGCCGGTGCGCGGTCTACAACTTCCGGGGTTCCTTGCAAACCATCTAGTGTATTCTGATTCCTGACCTAGTCGCTGGAGAGAAATGAAATTGAGCGGAGGCACTAGGTGGCACCAGCCTGACTAAAATACTTACTTATTTAACTGTAAAAATTCCAGTAATAAAGCACAATAAGTCAACTAGATCATTTTTGAAGAGAGATTGTGTAACATTTCTCCACTACTATTGTAACTTTCATAGCTTTTTAGTGATTCATGACTGTCTTTTTGCATTTTAAATTCTTGAACTTTCCACTATCACTACTTTCTTTCATAAAAAACAAGACTGCATGCACATTACATTACATTTGGTGGATTTTAAGCTTGTGCAAAATTGCAGACGCACTTCCTCACTTTGTCGTCAGCAGGTTTACTCAAAGCTGCATGAACCTGCCCTTGCTGTTTACTCCTGTTCAGAGTTTACATTTAAAGTGCAGGTTTTCGTGTTTATTTATTTCTTACTTGCTCTGGTGGGATAGCATCTAAATATTTGTCAGAGTTTTACATCAGTCAAATGTCATCATGCGTAAAGAGGACATTTTTCTGGCAGTTTAAACCTTGATTTAAAAGGCCTACATTATGCAATTTTCTGATCTATGTTTTAATGTTGTTACCTCCTCTGACCTGGAGTTGTGTTTTGTTTCATTCACACAAGGTTAACACAAAAACCCTGCATGTTTAGGCTGAATTCTTTTCGCAAACAGACCTTGTAATGTCTTGTGGTAATACAGGAAGTGCTCCACTGTGTTTTTAAACTCCGTACACCTTCACTAGAATCATTTGGATGATCTCTACTGAACGAAAGGTAAAAAGGAGATGTTAAAGGGACAGTCCAGACTTTTAGACATAGGACCTCATTTCCTAGTGAGCCAGAGTGTTGGAGACGTGTGGAGACACTTTTTCAAAAATTCCATCCAGTCTTTGTATTTGCAGAGGTCGCTGGTGCTAGACTAGTGCATGTCAATGGCCATAGTTATCCTGCCACTAAAAACAGACTTACCCACTCCACAAAACACTCAAAGCAAATATATTATTACACCAGACTGTCGATGTAAATGTCTGTGTTGATAAAATAATTTTAGAAGTAAATCCAACCTTACATTTGAAGGATTTATGTCTGAGCAGCATCAGTGAGTTGTACTTCCTGATAGAAAGCTCAGCAGCGGCGGACTGATATACGAGAAAATAGTCCCTCAACATGCGACAATTCATGCGATGCAAGGTTAGTTGTATTTGAAACATTATTCTATCGACACAGACATTTAAATCAACACTCTAGCGTAATAATATATTTGCTTTGGGTGTTTTGTGGAGTGAGTAAGACTGTTTTTAGTGGCAGGATAACTATGGCCATTGACATGCACTAGTCTAGCACCAGCGACCTCTGCAAATACAAGGACTGGATGGAATATTTAAAAAGTGTCTCCACGTGTCTCCAACACTCTGGCTCACTAAAAAATGAGGCCCTATGTCCAAAATTCTGGACTGTCCCTTTAATTTGAACATTGCAAGATGGAACAGAGCATTTTCAACTTTTGAGGTGTAGACAGACTAATAGTAAAGGAACAAAACACAACTCTTAGTCTGTTTTTGAGGAGGTAACAACATTATAACATGGCTTATAGCTCACAAGAATTAATTTTGCATAATATAGGACCTTTAATAAAATAAAAGTGTTGTAATTTATTTATATTTTATTAGTCTAATCATAACTCTTGCACAATTTATACACGTTTTAGCCTTTGTTTACATTACAGTTGCGAGGTGACAGCTATAAAATTACCTTATATGTCACAGCTGCTGCCCGTGTTCAAACAGGAAGTAAAATTATTCACCAAAATGAAAATTAAAACAGAAAAAATAGGCACTTTCTGGTGATTTCTAGGAAAATCTAAAATATGATCATGCTGACTTTGTGCTGAAATTAGTAGTCTAACTTAATTCCAGTATTACATCATATCTGAGTAACCCGTTCTAATCTGGCTGCTCCTCCTCCTC